TGTTGATGACAGGCCAAGAAGCGGAAGACCTCGTCAAGTAAGGACTCCAGCAGCCATCAAAGCCGTAAAAGCCATGATTCAAAGGAATCCACTCCGGAAGCAGAAGATCCTATCCAGGGAAATGAAGATTCCTGTCCGGACGATGTCGCGCATCATTAAACAAGACCTAGGGCTAGGGGCTTACCGGAGACGTACGGGCCAGCGACTTACGGCCACCTTGCGACACATCAGGGCGACAAGATCCAAGAAGCTCTTGGAGAGGTACGCAGCTGGGGGATTCCGAAAGATTTTGTTCACGGATGAGAAAATCTTCACCATAGAAGAAAAATTCAACCGACAAAATGACAAAGTGTATGCAAGGAGTTCACAGGAAGCTTCGGAGATCATTCCGAGAGTTGAGAGAGGCCACCACCCTGCGTCAGTCATGGTTTGGTGGGGGGTGTCCTACGAAGGGGTCACTCAGCTCCATTTCTGTAAACAGGGCGTGAAAACAAAAGCGGCAAACTATCAGAGCGACATACTGGATCCTATCGTCAAGCCTTTAAGTGGTACATTGTTTGCCAACCAACACTGGGTCTACCAGCAGGATTCCGCCCCCGCTCACAAGGCTAAGAGTACGCAGCGCTGGCTGGAAAGCAATGTGCCAGAGTTCATTGCTGCGGAAGATTGGCCCTCAGGGAGTCCGGACCTCAATCCTTTAGACTACAAGTTGTGGGACCTGCTAGAGCAGTTGGCCTGCTCCAAAGCCCACCGTAATATCGAGTCCCTGAAAGCGGATTTGATCCGATCAGCGGCAGCTATTTCTTTGGAAGCTGTGCGTGCAGTGATAGATGAGTGGCCCGCGAGATTGAAGCAGTGTGTGAAGGCCAAGGGGGGACATTTTGAATAAAACTGTTTGATTATGAATTCTAAAAATGTTGTCGAATAAATAATATCTTTCATATAAATATATCTTATCTTGTTTCATTTTTATCATGAGATTATCATGGGACAGAACTTATGGCACGACTACGTAAATACTCAGTTTGCTGGTAGAATTTCACAACATTCAACGCGCAAAATCATACTTACCAAACAGTTGTAAGTCCGTTTTAAAAACAAAGTAACCATGTACATCAGGTTATTTTTGAACTGGAATAAGTCGACTGGGACAAGAAATTTTTTGACAAAGAAAAGGTATCAGGTGACAGTTCTGAAACTGATAATGAAACTGATGTAAATACTGTCAATAATTAAAGATTACTGCCAAAACTTAATAGCATACCGCCACCACATAGCAAACTGGCTTTCTTGTTGTGATAGATTTACTTTGCATTTTGGACAGTACGAACACTGGTACTAAGTGGCATGCTAACGGATGAATCCTCAAAAATAGTTTTTCGCTCCGGACAAGACTCCATCTAGATTTATGGTCGAATCTGAACAAGAAAGGTATTAATGAACATTGATACTTTTCGAAGTATAAGCTATTCAATATTTGAAAATGTGCGAACTTCGCCATTATGGGCATCGAAAAAAATATCATGTTTTAATAGGTCTAATAAGTTTCTTAGTATTCTTCAAGCATCCGTCAGCAAAATATCAACATTTTAGAGGGTATTATGATTGTAAACATTCGTCTTTACCTCCTACGGCACTGAGCGAGGAAGTATTGTAATCGCGAAAAAGAGATGGTGTTATATGACATGCACATCTTGAAAAACGATGTTGGTCTGTCTGCTTGTCGGTCTATCTGTTCTCTAATCATGGCCCGTCTATAGCTTGAAAAGTACCGCTCGGATTTTGATGCGATTTTCACTTAATGTTGCTACTATATTAAAAACGAAAAATGTGTATAGTTTTTTAAAATCGATCGAGGGGCAGCATAGAAAAAAACTCGAAGACGAAATAGACATATAAATCGCCCAAACTTCGTTTTTTGAGGTTTTCAGAGGGTCTTGGACATTATAAAACAAATGTGGGGGTTGGGAGATGGTAAATGAAAATGTTTTGATCTTAGTATAATTTTACGCTTCCTACCCAGATAATTCTATGCACCCATTAGGTATATTTCTCACATCATAGATTTTCAAGTAAATTTGACTTCAAAACTTGATAGATGATTGTTTCCGATCCGGGTACTTTATCTAAGCTCACTGCCTGGCGAAGCGGTCCGGTCGACTAATCTGACCGTACATCGCAAAATGAACGATAACTCGCTGCATCCATGCAGCGAATATGTGGAGAGGGGCAACGTTGCCAGATGGACAGTAACTACCGGTAGGGCAGGAAATAATGTCTATGGACTTAATTGAATGGGCCTCTTCGACTTAATCCTTTATGAATTTATGGCGGCGTTGCAAGAGTCAACCTATTTAACGCCATTTTTTTATGGTAATGTGGATTATTTCTTTTTTCGAAAATGTACTTGTTTCCAATGTAATTTCATACAGCACTGTATTATGCCAAAGGATATCTCTGCGACTGAATATCTGGCAGTTTTTTTATAGCATAGCCAGTAATGGCCTTAGATTGATTAGATAACTATGATCTAGCCCTGAGGAACCGCTTGGAAAAGCTTTCAAAAGTCTTGACTAATTTCATGTTCTCCAGTATAGACGGAAAACATCCAACACCGATGCCTCTTCATGGTAGGTAAAAATTATACTGCATACTACCTCCATGGAGCTATAACCCTTTATTAGCTCTAACGACATGTCTGCGTCTGGGTGTCTGGTGGATTTTTTCCTTAGCACGGCCGGTGCGGCCAGACGACAGCTCAGAACCCGGAGCGTGAAATGAAGAAGCGCGACGGGATGCTGCCGGAAAGGGCCGGAAAGGGCCACTCGACACTAAGCTCGCGACAAATTGGACTCATCACAGGCACCGAGAAGGCGAAGAGGGATGAGGCGAGGTGGAGAAACGGAAGGTGAGGGGTAGGTGTGAAGTTTTCCCTTTTATGTCTCGCTCCATGGTTAAGGCGGCCGCCTGGCTAGCGGCAAGCTAGTTCAGGATATGCATTTAGGTAGTCTAAGGGCCGTATCGTCAGTCGTTCCTACAATTCTAGGACGCCTTTATGGCCTACTTGATATCGATAATACCATGTCATCTTCGATATGGTACTTGTATGTCCTGCTTTAGGCCCGTATCGTCAGTCGTCCCTACAATTGTAGGGCGCGTTTACGGCCTCCTTGATTGTCATACTTCTTTCTCTCCTTCAAACATTTTTAGATTGCACCCGTCCCGTGTCAGCGTCCGCGCTCTCCTATTGTGAAGATACGTTTTCTTTTTAAATTGTAGGAAATTTCAGGCTGATACAACATGATATAACTCAAAAGCAAGCACAATTTGATGCAAATAGATGTTTGTGACATAACCTCAAAATAGAGCGCTGGCACGGAAAAGTAGAAAACTATGACAATTAAGGAGGCCATAAAGGCGCCCTACAATTGTAGGGACTACTGACGATACGGGCCTTAGATTTCCGGCATGCTGACAGTTCTGGCTAGAGGTTATATATGTTGTTGTTTTGACGTTTAAGAAATTTTAGATAATTTATTATTTTCTCGCAAATAATGTCGATCAGTCAATAATACTTCGCTACATTGAACAAATTCCACAACCTGTGGTATCTATTATATTATAATATTATATTTGTATGTATAAAAGTCCAAAAGCTTGCAACGAAGCTGTTCTCTTGATCAAGGTAGTTCAACCAAAACAAATCATTGCATATTCATGTTATATAATTCTCGCATTATTTTCCGGTTTGGTTCATTCTCACAGACTTTATGAGATGGTTCCTTCATGGATAAGAGACATTGTATGGCAAGTATAATTATTGCATTGGCGATGTCAGAGATGCTTTTTCACAAATCATTGTGGGACTCTGAATTGTGTAGAGCATTGATTCCCAAAGTGGTCTATATCGACCCCTAGCGGGCAAGTACAATTATTGCATTGGCGATGTCAGAGATGCTTTTTCACAAATCATTGTGGGACTCTGAATTGTGTAGAGCATTGATTCCCAAAGTGGTCTATATCGACCCCTAGGTGTCTATGACAACCTGCAAATGGTCTACGTCAGCGAAACAAAATTTGGGGGTCTATGAAATGAATATGGGGGTCCACGATAGTGGATCTCAACACATACACTGATAATACCTATTTACTTACATCATACTATCTTATAATATCAAAACATATACATTATTAATAAAATTACCTATGAAGTAAAAAATTTATTATATATGTTTATAAAATTGTGTAAGTTGTAGGATGTTGGTATTCGCTTTGTGGTCACAATACATTTTGAACTTGTAAAAACCTGAGAGTCGCAGTCTCAGAGGTTCGCTGCCTTGCACTGACTTGTTCAATTCGTCACTCTATAAATACGAATGTTTGACAAATACGTTTATTCGTTTCCTGAATCTTGAAAAGGAAAGTGCTAAGAAAATATTTTAAAACAGGTAGTATATCACACAAATTATAGTGAGTCAGTGTTATTTTGTTTGAGAGTGCTGGAGAAAAGTAAGTACATTATTCTTTATTAAATTTTTGTTTTGTACTCGTAGTTAGCAAAGATAGATAAATTACGCCAATCATGACTTTAGTTATTAGTAGTTAAATATTCAATCATGCAAAATTACACGAGTGCTCCTCAATAGTTTCTTTTTGAAAGTTTTAGCAATCGGTAATATAATTACAGTGCATTGTCCGTAATTCGAGCTAATTGTTGCAAGAAGATGTTCGAATTATGGAATGTTTTCGGAAAAATCAAAAAATATTTTTAATATACAGCTGCTGGATTTTCTGTCTTATTTAAATAATTTAATTTTGCCCGCAGATGACTGATCCCATGTCCGAGTCTAAAAAGAAATGTAGACAGTACAGTGTTGATTATTTGAAATTTGGCTTCATTCCATCATTGCCGGACAAACAATCGCCTATGTGCCTTTTGTGCAACAAAGTTTTGGGCAATGACGCTATGAAACCATCTAAACTGCAAGATCATCGGAGAAGATGCCACCCTGATAAAACAGAGAAAGATTTGAAATACTTTCAAACACTCAAAGACAAATTTCAGAAGAGACCTATACTGGACAGAATGTTTGCTTCGACGTCACAAAGAAATGATGATGGTTTGCCGGCTTCTTACAATATCTCGTTACTTATAGGAAAATCCGGAAAACCGCATACTATCGGAGAGAAGTTAATTTTGCCAGCCGTTGAAAAGGTTTTAAAAACTGTTTTACACAAACCCGCGTCTGATATCATTAAAAGAATTCCCTTAAGCAACAATACTGTTGAAAGACGTATTGATGAAATGAGTTCTGATATTGAAAGCTTCTTATGTAATTATTTGCAAACGACCCATTTCTCTATACAATTGGACGAGTCAACTTTACCTGATAATGCAGCATTATTATTGGCATATGTTCGTTTTATTATGAATCAAGAAATCTACGAAGAACTGCTCTTCGCAAGAACTTTGATAACCGACATTAAAGGTGAATCAATATTTCATGTTTTGAAGGATTACTTCATTGAAAAAGCAATTCCTTTATAAAATATAATATCAGTACTTACAGATGGATTACCTGTCATGGTTGGACGTTATCGTGAATTTATAAGCTATTTAAAACAAAATGTGTCAGGGGTGTTAGCAATACAGTGCGTCATCCATCGACAACATTTAGTTGCTAAAAATTTGAGTGGGGGCTTTAGCAATACAGTGCGTCATCCATCGACAATGTTTAGTTGCTAAAAATTTGAGTGTTAGATTGCATGAATCACTTCATTTAGTCATTGATGCAGTAAACCGAATCCGAAGCAACGCGTTGAATACGCGGTTATTTGCGCAGTTGTGGGAAGAAAATGACGAACACTTTCATCAATTACTCCTTCACACTGAAGTACGCTGGCTGTCGAAAGGCTTATGTTTGACAAGATTTGTTGCACCTTTTGAGACTATTTTAGGATTTCTGGTTACTAAAGATAAAATTTTAAAAGAAAATTTAATGAAAGGAAAACAGACATCGATTTGTTTACAAAATTTAATATGGTTAATTAGCAATTACAAGGCGACAGTTTAAATTTGATTAAAACAAAGTCCATCTTATCAGCGTTTCTTGCCAGAGTTAAACTAATGGAGCAAAATATTGGACGGGGCGAATTTTCTCAGTTCCCCAATTTGTCACAGACAAGCTGCCAGGAAGACGACGTTTCAACTTACGTTCAACATTTAAATGCCCTCTATTCGGATTTTGAATCTAGGTTTGAGGATATTTTGACTATGGTAATACCACCGTGGATAATTAATCCATATGGTTATATAGAAGAAACGAATGCCATAATACAAGAGGAACAGACTGAACTGAGTCAAACGAGGAAGTTAAGGTTCAGTTTAAAAACGGATATCAGCAATTCTGGCTGTAAAACAACATACCCGTTACTTATCCCGTATTATGGAATATAGCGAGGAAATTTTTAATTTCCTTTCCATCGCCATACCTAGTGGTATGACTGGACATCATTAGCCGAGGAGATTTAAGATTAACCCTTACAAATTTGACGCCAAATGTTGATAATTTATTATTAAAGCATCAGGTTCATCCTTCTCACTAAAAATATTGACTTATTGCTTATGTTATTTTATTTATTATGTATTTTATGTTTAATGGTGTCTGACCAATAAATGCCCGCATTGGGAATAAGTGCCCGCATTGATTTTTTTAAAGAACCCCCTTTATAGAAAATATTTTTTTTAAATTATTCTGAAAATTCAAGGATTGGTACACACTAAAATTCGTTAATTTTTTGCCTATTTTTAGATAACTTAAACGTATAAGAAGCGGAAATTAATCAAACTAACAGTGAAATTATTGTAGAACATACGTTTATGTTAGAATTAATAAACGAACTCGCTTATTGTACTATTATAGGTAAAAAACTTTTTTTTTATTATTTTTCACTTTTTTCATTCTATCCCTCTTATTTTTTTTTTTCAATGCGGACACTTATTCCCAATGCGGGCACTTATTGGTCAGACACCTGTTTATTTAATGTTACGTATATTTTACATAACAGATACAAAATTTTATTTTGAGTAGTTTTAATTTAAATTCAATTAATAAATGTATAAATTAACAAGTGTTTTTACTTTAAGTTTTTCACTACAGTTAGAAATTTACAGGAAATCAATATCAGGTAAGTAGGGGGTCTACCCAACACGGAAAAACATGGCAAGGGGTCTACGACACAAAAAAGTTTGGGGAACTCTGGCTGTGGAGTGTCGGGCACAAGTATGCATAATGTGTGTATGTCAAGATCATAATTACTATTATTGACCATCGCTATTTCAGGGTGCTCAAAATGCCATGCTCAGAGAGTAAACAGAAAAATATAGTTGCAGCATGAAGTAAAATCAGGAAAACTTTATGACAATTCCATAATTAATTACGAATGGGAAGATAAACGAAAATTGTGACTCATCAAGCGAATTACTTTCCTGTTCAAACTCCAAACAATTCAAACAACTATATAAGCGGAAAAGACCCATTATGTTGGAAATTGTAGTTACCTCAAAGTCAGACTAGGCTAAGCCCTAATGAATAGTTTTAAGATAATTTCATTGCATTCATAATTCACTTATCATTACAGGTAGATAGATGTTGCAAGTATCAAATTAAAACTCCCAACTTTATCATGAACTTAACATGTAAGACTCTTTTCTGATTGAATGTTCATATCTAGGAGGGTGGCTTTAGGTCAAGATGAATACTTCAAATGATCGTATGTCCTAAATGTTTTAACTTCTGAAACACAGGGTGGTAAAAAAGGTCAAAAAAATAAATCCTTGATTATGAATATCTGTAATACCACTGAATGAAATTTGGCATAGATGTAAACGTGTCAAGAGGCATTCTTTTAATTTTACCTGCCTGTTTTGATAGACAGTGATGGTATGCCGTTTATTTCTCTCTTATTAAAATTTTCAATCACTTCGAAGCAAAAATCGATGCGAAATGATTTTTTTTCAATCTGATGTACGGTTTTTATAAAAACGATCATAACAATTTGTTAACATGACAATATCACCATGCAGAGAATTTTTTGGGTGGAAATAGTGGGTCGGACGTGAAAAACTGAATTCTTTTAGTCTGATGCACGGCTTTCACCTGAAAAATACTATCTTTTTCTCGAAATAGTGACATTGGCATACTAACGATTTTAGGATCATGCAAAGAAACGTTATTTTATTTTTGTAAGCGAATTCCGTGCATCGGGGTGAACAAAACTTAAGCAATCAAATTTGCCTAGAAATGACGGGATTTCAATTAAAAGTTTTTATTTTAAGAGAAATCAGTTGCGTACTATCATTGTCTGACAAAATAAGCAAGTGAAATCGGTATGAACGTCGCTGGTGGAAATCAAAAGAAAATTCGTACATTAAAAATTTAAAGTGATATTACAGATCGTAACAAAAAAATGTTAAATGATGTTTTCTTCTTAAAAGGAAACCAATAGTCGCCGTCTTAAATATTGACATTCAGTTGGAAAACACCTTATATATTTTGTGTAAGTAAATTTGAATTTATTAAAGGTTATTGTAATACACTATTGTAGTTTTTCATTTTGGATATATTTTTTTTGACTATATATTTGTTCATATTTCCTGTTATTATTTGTACGTTTTAGATATAAAGACTTCATTTGATTACTGATACTTATGAATTTTGACATAACCCTTAACAATTTCATGTATCATATTTTTCAGTTGATACTTACAGAATATAAATAAGAGAATAATTGGTAAAATAAATACTTTTTTTTCTAAATTGTATACCCACAGAAATACAATAGGTTCGGTCAAAAATATCTAGAAATATAGATTTCATCAATTTTTAATCCTTCTTTTCTCTTAAAACAAATGTTTTTTTTTCTCTAGCATAACGTTAACTAGTTTATATGCTATTTTCTCAATTACAAGCTATGTAAACTGGGCTGAACGGATATCTAATGAGTTACAAAGAAATCTTTCTAGTTTGGGGGTACATTAGATCATTTTGGAAAATTAATTAACTCTAGGTACCAAACTTCTTGAAATATCCAATTAAAATATATTAACTCTTCTTTTTTTCCCTCTAATAACGTTCCTCACACTAGAGTTATTGTCTTGGAACAATATCTTGCACCCTGGGCTTACCAGGATTGGATGTTCTTTGAGCAATGCAACCAGATCTGAAAAAATAGTATTTTAAGTATTGGTGATTTCTTATGTTTTAGTCCTAAGTACCGATATAACCATAAGTGTTAAAATATGTATTTCATATAGCATTTTTGCTAGATCACTGGATTTTCATTTAACCTATGGCACCATCTTTGTGAGATTTTGTCAACTAGAAATTTTGATTACAATATTCAAATAGCTCCTTTATGGAGTTTCGTGTGACAGTTTAGCTCTCACATACAACATTAACCATTAGTCATTTGAGAACCCCCTGCCCAGGCATAACAAAGCTCCTGTTGAACTCGATAGCTTTTAACTTTTATGCCTACCTTTAATTTACAAATTGCTGTGTAACACATGTCAGTCACAAAAAGCAAATTCACTTATTACAGTAAGGTTGGCTCCTTCAAACATGCTTTCAAGTGCCCGGATGCATGAATCCATTCTTAGGAAGATCATTCGCATCTTTATCCTTCCAAAATAGATATGGAGTTTTGTATGCAATATCACGATGGTTTATATCTGCAAAAAAGATGCATAGATTCAAGAAACATTAAAAATTTTACACCTTGGTGTGGGCTACAATTTTAAAATGATATTTTTTAGAGTTATAGTCTGAAATTTTTAAGTTAAGGTTCCCACTAATATAAATAAATACCAGATACATACTTGTAGCCTGACACCATGCAATCCAAAGTCTAACAATGATTTGTGAACAGCCATCTGGGACATCAACAATGCAGTTTCACTTGGGATACAATGTTTCTTATCCAACATCACATAAAGTCTGTGAGAACGAACCACATCTGAAAAAAATGCGATAAGTAGCTTCATCAAGGAACAGCTTGGTTGTAAGCTGTTAGGCAAATATACATAAATACACATCCATTTACATTAAATTGTTGATTTTAGATCATTAATACCAGATATGGGACTTGAAGATACCACAGAATGACGAATTTGTTCAATGTAGGAAATTATTATTGAATGATCAACATTATTTGCAAGAAAATATCCTTCGGCATTTGATTCATCTGTCTAAAATTTCTTAAACGTCAAAAAAGAAACATAACCTAACATCACAATTGACTTCTGATTGACAGCAGACTAGAAATCTAAAGCAGTACATACAAGTACCTAATTGATTACGACATACTATTATGAAAATCAAGGAGGCCATAAAGGCGTCCTGCAATTGTAGGAACGACTGACGATACAGGCCTAAGGCTAAGTTCAGGATCAAAACTTCCCACGCAACTGGAGAGTAAGTATTGTAATCGCAAAAATGTGATTGTTTTTTTTGGACGGTATATGATAGAAACATCACGAAGAACCACGTCACCCATTTCCGTCATTCTGTCGGTCTGCGTGTCTCAGTATCTGGTAGTTCGTGACTCAACTATAACTTGGAAAGAACCGGTCGAATTTTAAAGACAGTTTTACTCAAGGTTACGACTATGCTAAGGACGAAGAAACTGAGTACGTTTTGAAAATCGATTCAGTGGTGGGTAGGCTACAGGCAGAAACGGAAAAAACTAACCTCGTTTTCTTACATATCAGAGGTTTTTGATCAATTTCCAGAAACACTTTTCTATATGTTAAAACATTCTTAGGATGATAGAGGTTAGCGTTGTTATATTTATATGCTGTCAACCCGCGTAAGTTTACGCACCTGTTAGAAATATTCCACACATTACATATTTTCCCGTATATTTACCCTGAACATTAATAGTAATAATAATGATAATAATAATTATAATAATGGTTATTTGTAAATTAAAATATTCTCGAATAAAACAAATAAACATAAAGTATCCGCAGAAGGCAGTTGCCTTCGCGCGGGTATTTGCCCATACGAAACGTTGTCATTACAGTACATACTGCTATATTTTGATATGTTCTTAATTATTATTGAATAAATGAGTATATCACATCATTACACAAATTTATCATAT